AGAATAACGTCTTGACCAGGTGTAGTAGACAGAATAATGCTCCCCCCACAACCTGTCCAAATCCTAATCCCAGGAATCTGTGAATGCATTTCCTTACATGATAAAAGGGACTTTGAGGATTTAAAACATCTCCAGATGGGGGATTATCCTGGATTATCCAGGAGGGCAAATGTAATCACCGGGTGCCTATAAGTGGGAAGAGGTAGCCTGGAGTCAGTAAGAGACGTGATGATTGAAGTAAGAGGACGCAAGAATGATGCAAGCAAGGGCCTGTCAGTCTAGAAGTGCAAGTGTGCTTTAGAAGCTGAAAAACAGAAGGAAACTGATTCTCCTCTAGAACCTCCAGAAGAAATGCAATCCTGCTGATACCTTGACTTTAGTCCAGTAACACATTCAACTCCAAAACAGTAAGATAATAAACTTGTGTTGTTTTAAGCCACTAAGTGAGTGCTGTTTTCCTACAGCAGCAATGGGAAATGAATACACAATGTCAAAAGAGGGATGATAAAGAGGCAGGGCAGAGCTGGAAGGAATCACATGTTGTGGTTAAAGACTGATACACGTGTGTGTATGTGTGTGTGTGTGTGTGTGTGTGTGTTTATACCTTTGTACAAGAAAGTCCACCCAGATAAAATAAGCCCAAGGTCCTGTCTGCACTTGTAATTTATTAAAGTACTAATGTAATTTATGGGGCAGGGTTGTTGGAACTGAAGAAGTCAAAGAATGTTGAGCCTTATTTATAAGTTTATCAAAATATTCAGAAGAGTAACAGGAACATAAGGTGAATTAAGTAGAAACAATCAAATGCCAAAGTCCTTAAGGAACTGGGTTGGGGGTGGGTAATTCAAGGATACCACTGCAAATAGATAGAAGATAGTATAATTATGCAGGGTAAAACTCAAATGACAAAGGAGTTTTGCATGAGAATCAAAAATAATTTGAAAATGGCTATGTGGAACTATAGGGATGTCCACATCATCTCTGACTCCTGTGATAAGGGGTTGAAGAAGTCTAACTTCACAGGCAAGGGTGACACAAGAAAAAGCCAAAGAGCTGGAGGAAAATCAGCAAACCATGACATAATAGAAGCAAACAAAAAATATACAGGAGACAGTCTAAATGCTGCTGAGAGATCAAACAGAATTTTTAAATGTCCACTGAATGCAGAGAGAGGCAGGAACTGGAGCCAAACTTCAATAGGCTGAGAACTAAGTGAATGTTAAAATCAAGACAGAATGCAAAGGCCACTTTTGTATGTGAAGGGAGTTGGCAGGGGTGGCTCCAAGAAGGGCATCAGTAAGATGACCGTGCCTTGATGTGTCAATCCCAATGGGACAGACCCAATTGAGAGGGAGAGATGAAGATACAGAAGAGAATGCATGGTAATGATGAAGTAAGGTCCCTGAAAAGGCAGAGGAGATAGGGGCCAAAGTACGAGTGATTAATCTTAAGACTAAAACTCTTTGTAACTGGAAAGAAGGAGGAGGAAACAGATCCAGATACAGGTAGGTTTGTATGATTATTGCAGCTGTGAAGATCAAAGGGCGGTTATCCATATAACCATAGAAGTCACCCAAGTTGGTTGGAGCACCAACGTGGACGGGAGATACTGAGCCAGGTGGCATAGTCTTTGATGACCATCTGATTCAAAGATGAAAAGGTAACAGCAACAAAGAACTCTTCAATTCCAGAGAGATAACAGTTTAACCAATCATAAGTGATTATAGTTGTTAAAAGCAACTGGGCATATCTGAGCCTACCTTGCTTATTAGCTATGTGACCCTGTGACTTTGAATGCATTACTTTACTTCTCTGAGTCAGTTTCTTCATCCGGAATGTAAGAATAACACAAGTTCCCAAATCACAGGGACTTATGTCCCTATTTGAAGATTATGAAGATTATATCACAATAAACATAGGGTGCTTAACAAATGCCAGGTACAAAGGAAACATTTAACATTGTTAGGTATTATCTATTTAGAAAAAACATTAATGTTTCCATAAAACACATATAATAGAAGGCTCAGAGTTCAATCTGCAGTGCACAATTCTTACAAGATTATGTAATTTTTTTTTTTTTGAGACAGTGTCTCACTCTGTCACCCAGGCTGGAGTGAATGAAGTTGTACAATCTTGGCTCATTGCATCTCCACCTCCTAGGTTCCAGTGATCCTCCCACCTCAGCCTCCCAAGTAGCTGAGACTACAGGTATGTGCCACCACGACCAAGTAATTTTTGTATTTTTTGTATAGACAGGGTTTTGCCATGTTGCCCAAGCTGGACAAATCCGCCCACCTTAGCCTTACGAAGTGGGGGGATTACAGGCATAAGCCACTGCACCTGATCAAGGGTGTAAAATCTTTTAAGAAGTTTATTTTGTGTAGAAACTGCAGCGCAACTTTTATTTTTCTTGCTCTATGTGTCCCATTTCCTCACTTGCTTTAGATTTTATTCTACTTTTATGTTTCTGTAAATGTTGAAGTAAGGTCTGATATAAACTTAAAAGGCTATTAGAAAAATTTGAATCTATTCCTTATTTCTTTCATCACTTTTTTAAGATTGCCAAAAAGTCTCACAGTGGAAATAAATTAACAAACATTGTATGCAGACAAGAGCTAACACAGCAGTTTTGAAGCTGCTATGTTTAGAAAGGCCTGCATACAAGGTTGGCCCTTGGCTGAAACTTGGATTTAAGGAAGATCATCACCATTCTAACTGATAAGTATAGCCAAACTATCTGTACAAACAATGTGGTTCTACCTTCTGCATTTTTGCCTTCCTTCTATGAGCCTGAAATTTTGGTGTATGCTGTGTGGGTGCCTACATGATCAGCCCCTAAGAAAACCTTTGGGCATTGAGTCTATAATGAGCTTCTCTGATTAACAGCATTCTACATGTGCTGTCTCAACTCACTGCTTGAAGAAATTCAGTGTGCCCTGTGACTCCACTAGGAGAGAACTCTAGGAGCTTGCACGTGGTTTCTCCTGGACTTCTCCCCAATTGCCTTTTGCCATAAGTCCTTTGAGTCCTCCTTGTGTGAATCATTGAGGCTGGGCTTCTTGGAAGCCCTGAACACACAATGTTTTTTTTCTTCGCTGAAAACTATTATTAATAAGCGATGCCAGTGACATCACCATTTTATTGTTAAACTTTTATTATGTTCTTGTGTTTATTAAGTTTTATATTCAAGTTACATTCAATGTTTTCTATGTTGACTTTTCAGGAAAAAGATGTGAGGAAAATCCATCTAAGTAGTAGAATACTTCATCAATAGGCTTATTGTATATTCTCTCTATCCTGGCCCCACTGTGTATCCTCAGACAGGTGAATATGTCTAGCCTCAATTTCTTCACATGCAAAATTGGAATAATAGTATCCATCTCAAAAGGAATTGTAAGGAATAAATGAGATCATATACGAAATACTTAGAACAATGCCTGGCATATTGTGCTATATGTGTTCTATTACTACCACCTTATATTAAAGCTTCATATTTTTATTTTTTTTGTGCCTTAAAATGAATTGAGTATTGATAACATTACCTCTATATAGTAGGCCTGTTAAATTTTCTAAAATATAAGACTCCTAAGGTTTAAAACTATTTAACTACAAATAATAAAAACTGAAAGTCTCAAAATGACAGCACCAAAATCCTGGGAATAAATACAACTTTAACCTAAATGCTTCTTTCCATAAAAGAATGTAATAATGAAAACTGTCACTTGGTTAATCAAGTAGTCTGAGAATGACTCAAGTACTTAGTCTCATCTCCCCAAAATTCCAAAGCAAATGGAGATAGAATAAAAGCAGGAGTCATGGCAAGAGCAATTGTAGCACAGAGAGATGAAGGTCAGATAAGGGAACCATGGAGTCTTCAGCGTAAAAGTCATATGTCTGTTTTTTCCCTGCCTACAACTATTTTTATAATCTATTTATTAAAATCCATTTTACAAGACAATCTATCCACTCCTTCCCCCTAAAAAATTCCTGTGTAATGACTGAATTATAAAGCATGTGCTGTTAAATTAATTGGTTCAGTAGTCTTCCCAGTTCCAATCTCTGCAATCACTCACCTAACAGTTCACCTAAATTTGAACTCTTAGAAAAAAGGAAGTGAGAATTCAGGTAGATAAGACGTCATCAGCTAGGTGTGGCGCAGTGGTTTATACCTGTAATCCCAGCACTTTGGGAGGCAAGTGAGGCGGATCACTTGCGGTCAAGAGTTAAAGGCCAGCCTGGGCAACATAGCGAGACCCTGTCTCTACAAAAAATACAAAAGCTGGCTGGGCATGGCGGTACACACCTGTGGTCTTAGCTACGTGAGGGGCTGAGGTGAGAGGATCAGTTGAGGCTGGTGGGCGGCGGTTGCAGTGAGCCAAGATCATGGCACTGATGTCATCAACCAACCACACCTATATGATTCCTGTCTGATTCCAAGTGTGATCAAAAAAAAGCTTCTAAACAACCACATGCAACCAGAAAATGATATAAAGAGTTACATTAAGGTTTTCAAATTCTAGATTTTCATCTATACAGCACAGGGGAATAATGACATATGGCATATTTGAAATCATAGTAATAAATAATCCAAAATGCTCTAAAATTTTCATAGCAATAAATAATCCATTGCTATCTTTTATTGTTAGCAATGGACTTTGACCTAAAACCTGCTAGACTTTCAGAGCCATTAAAGTCAGCACTCTATGCGATTGGTTTCCTCTATGCAGATGGGAGAGGAGTTTGTGTAGGTAATGGATCACTGGCAACATAATTCATTAGTAGAATATTGAAATCTAAGTCAGGAAGGGTGGCTGCAGATTATTAATATACATGGCAAGTTATGATCAGCATTTTCCCAAAAATAAACTAAATCAAACCAATTTATTTTGCTCCTCCATTAACACACTCTGTAAGAAAATCTTATATCAGATGAAATATCTCTTTTCCATGAAAGGAGACATCAAATTTACAAAGTAATTTTTAATAAATTCAAAACTCACCATTGCAAAAACACTGACAGTTGGTTTCTTTTCCGTCTTATCTTTTTCACTGCAAAACAGCAAAGGAATTACATAAAACTTTAGAAATTATATAATTTTTAAATTACTCAAATTAATATAGAATGTATATTTAATGACAGATGAAGAAATATGTCTATATTATACAGTTAAAAAACAGGATAGTGATAGTATGATCCCATTTATAATGTTTAAATATGTTTACATATATTTTAGAAATCTACCTATGTCGTTTCCACTGAGCATTGGAATCTCTCTAAAAATATGTTCTTCCTTGTGCCTTTGAAATTTCCTGATTTGCTACGATGAATACATACATACACCCTTTGCAATCAGAAAAAAAGACATACTGAAAAAAGTTTCCTGTTTGTATTCTAATTAGAAAATCATTCACACTTCCCCTTAATTATGAATCCCCTTAATTGTCATTTGAGTAATGATGGCATTGATATTTTATCCGTCTACAGCCTAGATATTATTCTTAATCATTCCCTTTACTAGTGAAGAGTAGTGACAATTAGATGCTGGGCATAACTGGCCTAAGAAGAAAATTAAATTACTCTCTATGAGCAAACCTAATTGTGAAAAAAATGTCTGGAGCCCTAAATGAACCATTATGAAATAAATGCACTCTAGAAAGCTATGGTCAAAAATGATGCTCTATAAATTGTCAAAAGTTGTCCTCAGGCATAAGGTCAACTCTTATTTTGAAACCAGATACGAATGAATCTAACTCTGTAACCCATTTTCCACTCTGTGTAACTGCCACCTAGGATGTGAAAGCAAACCAACTATAACAAATCTGCCTCATCTATATTTTTGTATAAAAGTAAGATTATTTTAGAGAAGAATTGTGCTATTTTTTACAGGGTTTTTAAGTTCACAAGGTAAATTCATCTTTGTCTTTGTTCTTTACACCAAGTGAGGTCAAAAGAGGTGAAGAGACTTCTAAAGAAAAAAAATCCGGAGTTTACGCATTTGGCTTTGGATAATGTTAGAGAGACATAAAATACACAAACATAACTCTTCAGGTTTGGTCCCACCCAATTTCCAGTAAAGGCATGGTTTCAGTATCCCTGGAACCAGGATGAAAAGAGAAAAACAGCCATAAATAGTTGAGTTTTAGCTCTAAGCTTTTTATTTATTTTTTTGTTCTCTAAGACTGCTGCTACTCTGGAGAAGTTATAATGTTCCAGGCACTGGCTAAGTAAGCACTTCCCACACAGGATTCATAAACAATTCTATATGAAAGACACATTTTTTCCTTTCAGAGATGTAGAAGAGTGAGAAGAGTTAACTTGTTCAAGGTCCCACAGCTATAACAAAGCCTATATTTAAATGCCAAGTCCGTTCCCTGACCACCAAGCTATAAGGTACAACCTCAAGTTTCCGAGATACTGCATCACATTAAAATGCACTTTCACACACACTCTCACCCCTACTAGATTACTTACTTATCCCCATTAGCACAAAACACAGTGCTTAGAAAGACAAGTCATTCATCAAACATCATTTTAATAAAGAATCTTTGCAAATAGACATATTCCAAACAGCACTATTATCCCAGCATTATCTATTACCAAAGCCATATACTTCTTTACAATCCATGTTGAAACAGATTTAAATCAATGGCAATGAACACAATTTAATAAGAACTACTTATGTAAAATATAATCTCTAATTTGAAAAAAAAAAAGTCTATAGGCCATGATAGAACCAATAATAGAAATATGAGAAAGATTAATTTTCTTTACTGTTTCCCTTCACATACCCTCAATATTTCTTAAATCTACCTAAATGTTTGTATCATAAGTACATAATTCTTTAAGCTATCAAGTTTTCAAAAATACAAAGTGAAAAACAAAAAGTGGAATACCTACCCTCTACTCAATGGAGCCTTTTTCATTGTTTATATGAACTTTTTTAACAAAAATTTTCTCTTTCAATCATATGTTCTCCTACCATTATCACATCTAAGAAAAGTGGCTGCAATTTTGATATTGGCTAATATCCAATCCACATTAAAATGTCCCAAGAATGTTTTCCGTAGATTTTTTCCTTGTTGAACATTTAGGTTGTTTTCTTTTGTTTTGTAATGTTGACACGCTGCATTTGGTAGTTATATATCTTTAGTCTCTCTTAATCTAGAAGTCCTCCTTTTATTTTTTTTAACATTGACTTTTGTAAAGGGACATGAACAGCTGTCTTACAGAATGTCCCACATCTTGGGACAAACTGAATACAAATTGGGAAGTGCAACAAATACCTGTATCAAACTGAATACAAATTAGGAAGTACAATAAATGCAAAATACACATCAAACAGGAGGATTTAGCATAAAAGAAAATGCAAACTATCTTATTAATCATTTCGATGACATAGAACATCCAATCTTTTGTACATATTGAGTTCTATAAAATATATTTTCAAAATTAGTTTTATCTTTTTATTTTTATTTTTTAATGTTGCTGCTAGAAAATTTTAAATTACAAATGTGGCTCACATGACATATCTATTGGACAGCCCCGGTCTACAAGTTTAATTGGATTCAAACTAAATGTTTTTGTAGATATAGTAACATTTGCTAAGTGATGTTGTTTACTCAAAATCCAAGTGATGAGTCATTTACCACAATCTATTCTACTGTGAGTGATACCAGATCTGATCACTTGGTTAAGGTGCTAACTGCAAAATCGTTTAATTGGAAAAGCACGTTCTCCTTCCAATTAGTAAACATTTTGAAGAAAATTCTTTGATACAACTTTTTTTCTGAATGGTTTAGGGTTCGTTGACAATCCTTACTGTAATCTATTATAACAATGCACATTGCAAAGTAATAGCTGGAATTTTTCTGTAAAGATAATTCCCATATTTTCTCTACTTCTCACACTTTCTTTCAGCTTCCCTCCTCTCAGAATATTAGGGATTCAACAGCTGCATTTAGTATCTAAAAATCTGTTACAGTTATGATTTTCTTTGATGCTCAAATTTTCCCAGAGTTGGCCAGTGGAAGCTCCTTCCAGCCAGCTCCAGTGTGCTTTTAACTACTCCATTAAACTCCACTTTCTTATTTTCAGATACCACAGGATACCTTTGTATTTTTCCTGCCCTTGCCCCAGACTTGGCTGAAATTAACTATTGAGGTGTTATTTCTTTTAGGGAGGAATGGTATTAAGAAATCAAGATCTGATACTAACAGTGCTCATTGTTACTGTCCCTTAAAATGAACTATTAAAATATTATGAATTCATATTGAAATTTCCAATTCAAATTTAACATTATTTTTAAAAATGTATTTAATTTCCACATTTGTATTTTTTCTCTTACACTGAAAAGTTTGGTTTCTTATATTAACATGTTTACTAATTTATCTTATAATTTACATTACAGTTTCTAATAATATTAATATATTTACTAATTTATCTTACAATTTACTACTAACAATGAATCTATTGAGTGGAGTTTTAAATTTCCTATAAAGCCAGAGCACCATTTAATAAAGTTAATTATTAAAATTAACTTTAAATAATTATTTTCTGTATGTGTGGTTACATTACCAATATTATATAAAGATATTTATTGGCCGGGCGCGGTGGCTCAAGCCTGTAATCCCAGCACTTTGGGAGGCGGAGGCGGGTGGATCACGAGGTCAAGAGATCCAGGCCATCCTGGTCAACATGGTGAAACCCCGTCTCTACTAAAAATACAAAACATTAGCTGGGCATGGTGGCGCGTGCCTGTAATCCCAGCTACTGAGGAGGTTGAGGCAGGAGAATTGCCTGAACCCAGGAGGCGGAGGTTGCGGTGAGCCGAGATCGCGCCATTGCACTCCAGCCTGGGTAACAAGAGTGAAACTCCGTCTCAAAAAAAAATATATATATATATTTATTGCCAGTTAAAACAACACACAGACACACAAAACAAAATGTACTTTTGACCTTCCACCACCCAGGCCACAAACACGCGATGTTTACGTAGTCATTTACCACAATCAAAAGCCTGGACCACAGAGCAGATCACCAGCGGCATATGGCTCAGGTATGGGCAACGAACACCACTTGAAAAGCAGATGTTCAAGACAGAAACAAGCCTCCGCCTGTCTTGGGCAGGAAAGCTGAGGAGGAGGCACATCAATACTAAGGGAGAGAGAGTCCAGGAAGGGTAAAAGGGTGGAATGAAGAGAGGCTGGTGAATGACTAAGAACGGTTGAATAGGACAAATAAGTTCCAATGTTCGACAGCAGACTAGGGTGACTACAGTTAGCAATATATTGTATATTTCAAAGTAGCTAGAATAGAGGACTTAAAATGTTATCAACACAGAAATGAAATATACCCAAGATGATGGATACTCCAAATATCTGGACTTGATCATTACACATTCTGTGCATGTAAAAAACACTCTCATATACCCCATTTCATAAATATGTAAAATATTATGTATCATTAAAAGAAAGAACAAAAAAGACTGAGGGAGAATGCATATGCTGTGCCCCACGCAGCCGACAAACTTCTGCTCTAAGCAGGGAAATTGATTCCAAAGGCTGGTTTGCGTTTCTTAAAATAAAAATAATTAAAAACAACAGTATGTCATTTATCTCAGAGCTGGAAGCTATAAATAAACTACCCAAATCTTGCAATTACGTAAACTATAAAAATGAAACAAACTAGCTACCTTTTATTGTTCAGTTTTAAAAAGTTCTTCCCTGCTCCTCCATTGTGGTCCCCTTCGAGATCCATCCCGACCTGAAGAGAAACCGCAGCTTGTTAGCCAAATGCATGACCCGCAGGAGCCTGAGGTGAAACTAACCTCCAGTCACCTGCTTAACCCAGAGAGCAGTAAGGGGGAGCGTTCGCCGTGATGCTCCAGCTGCTCTGGCCACGCTGGGCACTGCAGGGGCTTTCCTGTGTGCAGGGTCCCCAGCCTCTCCACGCGGGCAAAGTTTGGGGGCTGGCAGCGCGCTCTGGATTCTGCCCGCCGCGAGCGCGTTTCTCCCTCCCGTTTCCCGTTGCCGCGGATGAAGCTTCCTCCCACCCGCCGCCCGCGGGCTCAGAGACCAGGTTCCCGCACCGCGCGGGCTCTGCGAGCTCCTGCCAGCATGGTCCAGTGCCACTACGGTTTGGGCGCTGCTCCAGGAGCTCCCGAGTCTACATCTCACCCCACTTGGTCCCCAAGGACTTGCAACAGGACTCCTCCACACCATCCACGCCTCGAGAAGCCCTTCTCCCGCGAGGACCACGTACAGGGAATCTGAGAGCCTGACCCTTCTTGGGAACTGTCCTACAGTAGTTCCCAACTTCGTGTGCGCCTACCTCTAGCTCCTTAGAGCGGCCACTAAGACGTGAAATTTTGGAAGAAGAGACTCCGGCTTCGTCGAAAGACCTAGTGGAAACAAACAGCGGCCTCTACTTCTTCGAGCTTGGAGGAGCCGCTGCTCTGAGGAGCCGCTGCTCGAATGAGCGCAGGTTTCCTGTGGAAAAGAGGAGTCAGCGTCGGTGCTCGGCCCAGCCCCAGCGCTGTCCTGTGAGCCAATCAAACCTCATCTCAAATGAATGCTCCCGGCCCGGCTTGACCGAATGTTGATTCCTTTAGAAATTGCGAAACAGATCGAATCTCCAGGAGGAATGTTGTCGCTTCCGTTGCGCCTCTCTGGAAAGGGCAAATAGAGAAACGTGCATCAGCTGAATCATCGGGGACATTTCAACTTATAGAGACACGTCTCTCAAAGTTCACAGAAGTCTTCATATCCATATAAGGATACAGGATGTCGTTAAGGGAAATTTTCTCTGGATTTGCATTTAATACAGTTAATACAAAACCTCCGACCTCTCCAATTCTGTAGCTCCACTCTGCTAACACCTGTAAAAAGGCCAGGAGAAATTTTTCTGCAGTGGACTTTCTTCAGCATGTTTGACAGTTTCTGAGTATATCTATTCATCCTTTATTTGATGATAAATGGAAAGAAATAAAAAGGAAGTTTTTAAAAACATAGAGACACAGGTATTTCAAGATAGAAATGGTATTTTAAAGTGTGTAATATTTTAAAACTTTAGAGGTCAGGTCAATGCCCGTGTTTTTCCAGGGCATTTCAAAATTCAAAATAATTTTAAAATAATTAAAATAAACATAGCATGTTTTAGCATGTTACATTAGCTTTAATTTCTTTTCATATTTACTGCCAACATTTAATATTTTTTCCTGTCCACTATTTTTTTCAAACTGAGGAAAAGTATGTGCAGTCTTCCCAATTCAAATTTATAAAGTACTGCTAACTCACATCAGAGCTTTTCTTACTTCTTATGAACATAGGGGAAATAGCTTTGTTGTAACCTCTAGCCCACATTCCATGACTTACACATATTACCCATCAGCTTACTGCATAAGTTTAGAAGAAGAAAATCACTTTGTTTTTTACTGCATAGTCTGAAGATGTTTCCTCTTTCTTTAAATAACTCATACTTCAAAGCCATAATTTTTTCCTATTCTTGACTACACATTTTTCTTACCTTGATTTATTTTGTGCTTGGCCATATAATGAAGTTTTTTTTTTGTTGCTGTTTTTTGTTTTTTTCTTTTTTTTTTACAAATTGTTAATTAGGCTCTCTAACAGGCCTCTATTTTTTCCACATGTTGTAATTGGATATGCATGAGTATAGCATTGTTCACTGTTTAACAGCATAACAATAACCCTGTGGTCCGTCTGGGGTAAATATACAAGCTTTCATCTTCATCACTTGCATTTTTAATCTTATTTATGCCTCTCATCTCTGTTTCCATTTCTGTTTTCCTTTGTTCCTTTATCTCACCTTTTGTTTACATAATATTGTTGAATTTTATGTAGCCTTTTGAATGGCCTTTAACCCTCCCTAAACCGTGCAGGATATAAATAAAGTGTTATATTGTTATACTGGTTATACTATTTCTATAGTCTTGAGCTTCAGGTAAAGATCTCTATCAAGGATATAAGTAAGTTAAAGATCAAAATAACACAGAGATTTCAAAAATAAGGTTCTCCCACTCTATTACATTGTATTCAATTTCTTTGCTCCACTGACATGGAAGTATGAATATAAAACATGATGGACCTAAAACAAACTAGCTCTTGCTACTTTCAACTGCCCTAGGCTTATTTAAAGACACCAGTCTTGTATTGGTGCTACCACCACTCCTGTCAAGCTGGACTTGGCTGTTCTTAAGCCTCCTTAATTTCTGGTGAAACCTACCTAGTCCCCTTGCAAGTTGGCACTCACATACCTTCATTCAAGCAGTGCTTTTTCCATTTGAAGTGATTGCCACAATCTGCACCTTCTTGTCATCCACCCTCATGTAGCCATTTCACCAACTTGTCTATAGCCTCCCAACACTAAACTGTTCTTTTTTATCTGTGGGAGTAATAATATATAATGATAATAATAACAAATAACATTTATTAAATACCAGTCATATATCAGGAACTGCCAAACACGTCAAAGAGATTATGTCATTTAATCTTTACAAGAATCATATCAAGTAGTTACTATTGTTGATACTCCCATATTACAATAAAAGACACTAAAGTTTGCATTATTTGTCCAGTCACACAGCAAGTAAGCTGCTAACCAGTAGTCCCTCTCTTATAACTATACTTTTAACCACTACTCTACACTATAGTACATTATCATAGGACATTCCACTACACTGCCTTTTTCAGCCCCATGAAGTGTTTTCTTCTTATCTTTCCATCTTGGAAAACTTGCAATGGCTCCCTGCTGCAGAATATATGATAGCTAAGAGTTTCTTCTTCTTCTTGTCTTTGGAGACAGAATCTCGCTCTGTCTCCAGGCACCAGGCTGGAGTACAGTGGCGTGCAATCTCGGCTCACTGCAACCTCCACCTCCCAGGTTCAAGCAATTCTGCCTCAGCCTCCTGAGTAGCTGGGACTACAGCCGCATGCCACCACGCCCAGCTAATTTTTGTATTTTAGTAGAGACGGGTTTCACCATGTTGGCCAGATGGTCTCGATCTCTTGACCTTGTGATCTGCCCGCCTCGGCCTCCCAAAGTGTTGGGATTACAGGCGTGAGCCACCACACTCAGCCCAGAGTTTCCTCCTAAAAGAACCACAACATAGCACTTCTCTCTAATCATCTTCCTCTCCATCAACATGTACATGTTTACTCCATTTCAGCCAAACTCACTGGGCTTCTCAGATGATATGCTCTTTTCATTCTCTACCTTTCCACATATAAATTGTTAAACTAAATTAATTTACAAAAGTTTTCTTCTTTAGTACTTGGCTCCATTAAACAATTTGGGCTTCGAAGGCAAAAAAACTTAGATAAGGACCATCTCTGCTGATTGTTATGTGTAGGTTTGAACGAGTTACTTAACTCAGCTGTCCCACGGAGGTACTATCTATTCTTCACTCTTTAGTAAAGAGTAGATAGTACCTTCTAATGTTATGGCAAGATTAAGTGATTTGTATATTTAAAAGGTTTGTACAGTGCCCGGAACACCCTAAACACTCAACATTGCTATGTATTAGTAACAATGCTCTCTTCTCAATCTCTTTTTGCCCTTCCTTAGCATTCTTTGACACTCATGTATGTAGTCACATCTATTTATCCACATATGTTTGACCAATTATTCTCATATCCCAGCTCTCTATGTCCTTTATTATATTAACAACAAATTCATAGAAATTAAAAAGCTGTTTACCTATTTTTCCTTCTCCTATGGTTTTTAATTCTTCTGGATGTTCTTCTTGTGACCCTCTATAGTAAATCTTGTGTGTCTTTCTGTCTTTCTCTGATCTCGCTAATAATTTATTTTCTCTATTTTTCCTGTCTCCTCTATTTAACCAATCTGAGTCCAAATTGAAGGTTCAACACATTTCAAGAAGAAATGCAACTCACCTCAATGAGCTTAATTGACCTGAGGCAGAGAAAGAATACAAGTTCCAATCATCTCTCTGAACTGAATTGACCTGAAACAGAAAGAATACAAGTTTCCACCCAGCTCAAAGAGCAAGATATATGACTCAGTTGTATTAACAATAATAAGGGATCCACACATTCCCCACCCTTTCATATGTAATGATTTTTATCTATGAAGGACATGTGACTGACCTAATGATGGGGGATATTAAATGACTGTACTTGAACTCACATTGGATTACATCAGATTGCTTCTATGGATACCTGAATTGAAAGAAAAAAATCTAGATACTGAAGGTCAATGTGATCATTTTCAAAGAGGTTGTTTGTCTTGCCATCATTTAGCCAATATTGCAACAGATACGACTTGTGTGAAATGGTGATCAGATGATGATAAATTAATTTAATTTTAATTAAGTCAGTGACTTAACCATGTGATAAGTCAATGGCAAATAGAAACCTGAATTTTACTCCTCTTTGAACCCTTCCCTATCTACTCTAGCCAGAAATATTTTCTACCACTCTGCAATCCTACTTTTCAGTGTCTGTACCTCTCATTTTGTATTTATTATTAATGTTTCACATAACTATGAATTTTTAAAAATATTCTAACTGGAAAGAGACTTATACAAAACAAAGTTTCAATTAATGTTTGTGGAAAATATTAAGTGCTGAGAGTATGACATCAGAGACAGATTTTTGGAAATTATACTAGTAAGCTAAATGCCTGAGTTATCATTAGTGTGACTTGAAAGATCTATTGCCATGAATTATCTCCCTTACCAACTTCCTTTTATTGAAACAGAGTCCTACTCTGTCACCTGAGCTGGAGTTCACTGGCATGATCTCAGCTCGCTGAAACCTCTGCCTCCTAAGTTCCAGTGATTCTCTTGCCTCAGGCTCCTGAGTAGCTGGGATTACAGGTTTGCACCAGCACAACAGGCTAATTTTTATAATTTTAGTAAGATGGAATTTTACCACGTTGGTTAGGCTGATCTTGAACTTCTGGCCTCAAGTGATCTGCCCACCTCAGCCTCCCGAATTGCTGGGATTATAGGCATCAGCCACCACACCCGGCCTCCTCTATCAACTTCTGATATAATCTTTAAACTCCTTTAGAGAATCATCTCTCTGAGTAAGTCACTGCCCCCTATTGAAATAAATATACCATAATAGCACAAGTAAAGTTTTTAAATCAATGACAAAATTAAGAGGAGAGAAGACAATTGAGTATTCAAGGGAAAGAAGAAAATTAAGTGGCAATTCTTGGAATTCTAACTTTGTGAGATACCAGCTGTGTGGCTGTGAACAAATACTCCACCTCTCAAAAACCTTGATTTCTGTGTCATTCAAATAAAGACAAAAACAGCTTCCACCTAAGGTTTTTGTAAGAAGAAAATAAGGTAAGATTTGATGTGTGTTTGGTATAAATAGTACTACTTCCCAGATATCCTAATAAAGATAATAAATGGAACCAAGATATGAATAACCATTAAGAATGTGAGAGTAAAAGTGATTACTGGAAAGGGCTAGTAATGGACACTGAAAGTAAATAATAATATGGAAATAATTATAAGTATTACTTTTAAAGTAATCTATAAAAACAAAATTATGAAGAAAATTGAATAAATTCACATTTAAAGCCAACAGCAAATCATATTGTTATTTATTGCAAATATCACAACAGATTAATATTCTTAATATATAAAGCGCTCATATAAATGCATAAAAAAATTTAAAGGCCTAAATAGAACTGAGCAAAAGATACAAATAGGCAATTCATACAAAAACATATGGAGTATACTGGTACTCAGAAGAAGACATATTGAAATATTCATGCTAACTACAAAGAAATGCAAATTACATCAGCAAAGATATTTTGAGAAAATGAGATTATTGCGTCTCACAAGGGTTAAATAAAACAGGTGGGAGCTGAAAATTATTAAAATGAATAAGGAAACATACATAAGGGAAACATAAGTCTGTTTGACTCATTAATTCAATTTTGGGAAATCTATCTTAAAGAAATAATTCGAAGTACAGGAAAAAATATCAGCTAAAGATATTCATTGCTGCATTATTTTATAACAGTGAAAAATGAGCAGTTTACCTGAATACTTAACCACATATGTATGGATGAATTAATT